AGTAAAATTGGGCGGTTAAAATCGATCCAAGTGTGATTAAACTCACGGTGTGAAGCGCGACATTCGTAGCTCAAGTGGGTAGGGCGTTGGCTTGTGTAAAAGGCCATACTCCTATGCGGGTTCGTATCCCGCCGAATGCCGCGAGTTTTTTCACAATTGGCTCAACTAAATGACTGAAATAGGCAAAGGGACACTGAGACGGTCCTTTTTGGCTTATCAGCAGTCATCATCCGGTCATACAGTCTCAGGTTGTGCACCAGCTGAGGCCCGAACCGATTGCTAACGGAACTCACTTGTCGCGCTCTGCTCATTCTTGAATCCGACCAGCGGCCGCACACCGTTTCCGACAAAGACAAGCGGGAGATCGGCATGGCCATTTCTGGCTTATTAGGCATCGTCAGCCAGTCATACCCAGACCCAAATGATGTTCCACACGAACTCGTGACTTTTTTGATCAGAGTCTACCGCCCTAGGCCTTGAACCACGAGTCCCTTGTCTTGCCGGTTTAGGTCGGCAGATACTGACACTGGTTGATGAACGTCAGTTGCTTGTCTATTCTGGAAAGAAGTCTACTGTTTTGCTGCCTGCTTAGACTACTTGATGTCCGGCCAGTTTCGTGTCAAGGGGATAAACCTGAGCATCATGGTAAGGCAGACTAGCAGCGCATCTGCTTCGGTCTACCTTCCCACATACCACGCAGCGTGTACAAACGGCAAGACGACCGAGGACGAGTTTCGACACAGTGAAGCCCACTCCCTCCGCCCCCCTCCCCTACGTATACAACAATACGCTTGGTGGTACCGACCATCAACAAGCAAAACTATAGACACGTGCAGGATTCATCAAACTTCGGGGCCGGGGATGCCAGCTACCTCGTCTGGCTTTCAGTGCAAGTCAGAAGGGTTACTGAGATGTGGTCACGATACTCAGTAGAGATTCGTGGAGGCACAGAGGGTTCAGAGAAGCATGTGCCACTCAACCTCTACGAATACCAATTCGGTTTCACACGCAGTGTGCGATATCTCATCAAACAGATTTGGTGTGAGACGATATTGAGGAGCCATTGTAAAGCGCCTCCCTCCCCCCCCGTCCCGGCCAGGTAGCAACCTCCCAAGACGTGGTGAGATAGCACATAGGCGCACCAGATGTATTGTAGTAATGTCTGTACAACCTAATTATCTATTACATCGCCGCTGGTGTGCATACTCTAGGAGTGAATCAAACATACTGAAGGTAGGAACGAGTGCAGTGATGTCGCCAACAGCTAGATTTTGTGCCGTCCCAGACGCTTTGTTTCAATCCAACAAGGAGGACAACGAGCAAGGTCGTAAGGAAAGGCAGTACTTTATTGTGTCCCTTGAACGGTCAGTTAAGCAAGAAAGGTTAAAAATCGGACCAATCAGATTGTGTCCGCGTGCGACTAGCGACTCTATTGGCAATCCTGTCCTGGCAGCCTCGTGTGACCTCGGCTTCTTAAAGGCCCGTACGTGCGCGCGTGCGGCGTTTGTGTGTGGGTGGACCGATAACGTGACCTGAGAGCCCGCCAGAGCAGCTCGTCGGGAAGGCTCCTAACATTTTAGATGGTCACTCCAACAGACTCTCCTAACGTGTTGATCCAATAAACCATACGAACAAGGTGTGTGCTAACGGCGCAACCCATTTTTGTGGCCCAGTTTGCCGACTACTAGGACAGTCTGCGATACAACACAAAAAACGGCATTTGGATTGTTCATTTAATTCGAACTTCTGGGAGTTCCTCCCTCCTTCCCTTCGAAACCCATTTAATTCACGCATTCCTTAGGGGCGCCCGCACAATACAGTTCTAATGGAGAGAGAGGGGGGATTAGGCATAAAAACAAGTACCAACGAACGGAAACAGATGAACATTCACAACCGAGTAACCAAAAGGAACTCATGTGCAGCGGGAAAGGAACATGCAACTTACACGCAGGGTAATCTACAAGCACAGAGTGTCAAGTGTCGTTTGATGGTGAAAGAATGGTCAACAGAAAGTGAAGTGCAGATTACAAAACAATGTCTTCTAGGTGCCTGGTCGACAGGAGACAAGACAGAGGTCCTGTTTGCCTTTAGATTATCAAAACAACCTACTTTTACATTTTCAGTAGCCGGACTTAACCCCTTTTTGTTAAATTTCGCCAATATGAGGTCGGATTTTTTTTCTTCGTTAAATTCTGCCAATATAAAGTTGAATTTTCATCAAGAGGCTTCAGTCGCCTGAGCAAGAGGAGTTTATGTTGATGGAGTTGATTCTATTTAGTACAGTAGACGCCAAAGATCATGCAAAATTTCGACATGTGCGAAAGACTGATACTCTTTCGGTAATCGGCATTGACCCAGGTTGTGATACTGATTATCGTGTAGTCTATTCTGAAATTTATTCCGTCATAGTAGGATGCGGGCTTTTTAACGAGCTTCGTTCTGACTACCAGCAAAATGCGTCTATTGTAAAAACTGGCTACTTAAGTAGTATGCCTTTTATCACTTATTTTGAC